GCATTACAAAAATTTGATTCTTTTTTTGTCGGGGGAGGAGGGCGGGAGGGTAGTATTGGTTTGTTCTGAAACCCTTCCTGGAAGGAGAGCCTGCTTAGTATTTCTCCAGGGCAGTAACGTTAAATCTGAACACCGGTCTCTGCATCTTGCAAACCTGAAACCTTCTTTTAACTTGAACACTGACTCAGAAATCAAATGTGGCCCCCTGAACCTAAGTCCAAGTATTTCTTGGATTCCTAGTTATGGCTAAGGGGAATGTGCCAGGCTCAGCTATTTGAAGGGAGACAGTCATTCCTGTGCATTTTATTTATCCGAATTTTCACCGCCCATGTCATCGTTGCGCACACCTCTGCACCAGGCACTATACTAAGTGCCTCACAAAACGTTAGCTCAGTAACTTCCTGCAATCCTCATGCATTATCACCCCTTTACTGGTGAAACAATTGAGGTTTCCGTAGCTAGAAAGAGGTGGTACTGAGCCCCAAACCCAGGGTGAGCAGACCTCCAGGTAAGTGTTCTCAGCCAGCGTGAACACCGGAGCTCGCGGTTTCTCTCACTCCTGACCCGCAGTGCCCGTCACCCGGCAGGTCCAGTCCCGGGAGCTCTCACTGGCTTTTAAGGGATCATCTCAGGACCCGGACTGACCAACGATCACTTAGGGGGATTTGGACCTCTGGATAGCCATCGCATGTTCTGGAACCTTAACGACCCCCACCCTGCCAGCCAGGGGCCAGGGAGACTTTGCCACCGTGCTCAGGGGGGCGTGGGCGTGGCCCTGGCCTCGCGAGGCCTGGTGCGGTCACACAGCCCGTCCCCCCGCCCCCGCACTGTGCCCCTCAGCTCCCTAGCTTGCCTCTCAAGGTCTACAATTCCATGGGAGAAACTTCCTCAGCCTCCACATTTTAAAAAAAATATGGTTATTTCATGAATTACTCTGCACAGCGGGCATAGATGGGGACATTTTCATTCTACACCTGCCTTTCAGTGTTCACCATGGTATCAGCATTGGAAAGCCACCAAGCAGCATTGCAGTAAAGAACTGTAACCTGAACCCAAGCCCGGCATTGCCCAAACTTATTTGACCACACATCTCCATTCGTTTTTGGTCCCCCCATCCCCAGATATCTATGCACCTGGATGCACAGTCACACTGTGAGGGACATTGGCCTCACTCAGCGTTTGTCACCCTCAGCACTATCGACATTCTGCGATGGATAACTGTCGTGGAGGGTTCTCCTCTGTCCTGTAGGATTTTAACAGCATTCCTGGCAAAAATTTGTTCCTAGGGGTGAAAAAAACCCCCCCAAACCTTACTCTTTCTATGTGTAAAGCACAGATACATGTGTTATATTACATAAACAGATATACTGTTTGTGGTATTAAAAGTTCATGGAGAGGCGATTCGGAAAAAAATATCTGAAAAGACTCCTTGTGGGGGTGATAATGAAGAAATTTGATAAACGCTACTCTAGATCAATCTTTTAGTTTCTATTCAGGCAACTTCCCCAAGAAAAATGGCGTGATTGGCTCTTTTAAGCTGAATTGCAGAACTAAGCAACTCTAGACGTGTAGAGGGAAAGCAGTCAAAAGCTGGCAGAGCTGAGGGTAGGCTACACCGATTGAGGACTGGGGTCAGCCCCTTGGCTATGACTGCTACGTAAAACCAAAGGGACTAGCCAAGATCACCGCCAGGTAAAATCACCATGATTTCTAAGGAGAAGGGGTTCAGGGGAGGGGTCCTCCCATTGCAAAAGGGGCTTGAAGCTATATTGTTATGCCACTTCTGCAAGACCGAGGATTTCTCCATTATTGAATGTGGTGGACTAAGGTCTTCCAGGTTACTGCCAGACATGTACATTTGCCCACATTCGCCTCTTGTCTACCTGATTACCCTTTCTCTTGAGTATGTCTGATGTCTTATTCTGACCTTCTCAGATCCCACTTGTTCAGAGAATATCACACATCTTGATGGCTTGCCACTGCACATCCATGCCAGGGGAAGAGCAAACAGCCCCCTGATCCAGAATATAAAGATCACTTCTACTGCACACAGCGAGCTAAAAGGGCAGTTTTTAAGTTAGAAATATAGCAAATAAATTATTTTTTTTACAGATTTCTCTTTTTAATAATTTTCTTCATTTTCCTCCTTAATCTTGCTTTCAGTTTTGGGAAATGAGTGACTAAGAGTCACTAAGGGTCATTAAGAGTCATTTTCTCTTTCTTCTATGAAAAAAAAAAAAACCCACTTGAACTCAGCAGAGATGGGTGAGAACAGTCGGAGTTCACAGGAAGACATGCCCTTCAAAGGCACCTGTCTTTCTTAATGCTGCTTCTTGAGCAAGTCTGGCACTGCTTCACAGACCTTTCTCAGAGCCACCATCAGAAACACAAGGTACGTGGGGACGGATGGGGCCATTCCCGGAGCTTTGGGCTGTGCTGATTTTTCCACAGGCATGAGGACTCTGGAAGCACTAAAGCTGGCCAGCCACTCCCCCAGTCCTATCACTCGGGCATCCTGGTGGGTCTAGTGCTCACATTTGGCTCCTTCCCATGTTGGAGGCCACGCGTGATCTACCTGGACCCACACCCTGCGAGTCCTCATCCATCGGGCACTGATTTACGCACACACCTGGTCTAAGTCCACATGCTCAGAATACACAGACAGTTTTCATTAAACATGTAAACTTTGCTGCTTTCCGCTTCTACGAACACTCCCAGGTCAAGAAAGACTGCACAAATAAGGACCACAGAATAATTCTAAACACTTACTGGCTGTGTTTAACTTTTGTGTGCTCTGATAATTTCCTAAATCCTCTGCCTCTTTTGTGTCTTTAATTTTCACTGGCAGAATGATACAGAAAGACTAGAATTGTTCATTTAAATAGAATTGCTATTCATGTAACAAATTTTTTTTTTTTGAGACCTTGAGGTGCAGCAATCTTCAGCATCTGTTTGTAGGAGTAAACCAAAATCTCTCCCTTGAAAAACACAGAGTTTAGGTGGTTGGGTATGGGCCTGTGACAGTGTCAGCTAAGGAGTAGATGTGAATTACTCAGCACTGTGAAAAGAGTTTTTAATAAGAAGCCTCGGGGTACCATGGAGAAGAACGCAAGAGGAATAGAGTCGATATATCGTCATAGCAATGTATGGTGCCAGGCGGGTACGGGAAATATTGGGGGCCGCTCTGTAAAGCGCTTGATTGTCTAATCATTATGCTGTACACCTGTGACTATACAGAATAATATTGAGTGTAAACTGTAATTTTTTTTAAGAAAAAGGAAGCAAGGGGAATTGCCCTTGAGTCAGAAAGCTCTCATTCCTAAATTGCTCTGGTTCACACGTGAACTTGTGTGTAACTACAAGAAGCTTTTAACCTCTTCATCTGCCAATTTAGATAGGAAATGAGAGTGACTGTGAGCCTGTGTGTAACTTTAAGTAGGTTTTAACCTCATCTGCCGATTTAGATAGGAAATGAGGGTGGTTGAGGATGTAGAGATTTTATTTCTGGCTCTGATGTGCCTTTTCCAGATCTGCCCACCAATTCCCACTCTGATGGGACTCAGTGCATGGGATGGATTTTCATATATGGTTTTGATGACAAGACCACACTTTCCCTTGGTTCACCCAGCTAAGTAAGTACCGTCACCTTCTGAAGGGCCTTGAGAACAGGTTGGCTGCGTTACTGTCACATTGGCCTGGGAGAGGCTAGCCGTCCCGCCTGGGGGGCAGGTGCATTCCCACCTGAGACGAGGCTCTGGCGCGAACGTGAAACTGGGCAGTGATGCACCGGAGCTCACTCACACCTCCTCTCAAGAGCTGGTTGTGAAATATGCAGGAATGTTATGAGGCAGTTGGTAGCTTGACCTTGTCCATGGCGGGAGTATTTACACCATGGAAACCAGCGAAAGTCATAAATCAGAGCCCTCCTATCCTCAACACCTTCCTGACCTGCTTTACCAGTGTATCCTGGGTCTTGGAGCCTGAAGAGCAAGTGCTGTGTATAGCTCTCTGGCCTTCTGATGTAATTGAACTTCTCTGAATCTTTCATGAGTTATCTGCACAGTGGCTCAGTGTGCTAGCTTGGCTTAGAGTAGCAGGCGTTCGTTGGGATGGCGGGGTGCTGGGGACGGGAGCGTGGGGGCGGGGTGCAATGGGCAATACCAGTGAATGTGCTTTGGAATCTATGAAGTGTGAAGCATGTAGGAGGAGGAAGAATTTTCATATAAAGGCAAATGACCAACCGGATTTCCTTTTAGCTTGATGATTACCTGAGTAGTTACTGAATTTTTGGAGTTAACAATCTAAAGGGGTAGCATAGGTAGATATTAAAGTACTTTTCTTTCTTTCTGGTTGTATGTCAGAAAGGCCCTCAGTGCAGCGTTGTTGGGGATAGCAGCTGGCCTTGTTCTTCCCGCACATGGCGTCAGTAAGCCAGGCTACCCTTTAGAAATGCGCCCCCCCTTACAAAGGAGAGAACTGGAGCTCTCGGGGGAGGGATAATAACAGTGGCACAGCTGGAATTTGGAAGCTGTCTGACTCCAAAGGGCAGGATCCTTTTTCAAAAAGTGTTCTTAAAAGTGTTTACTGAGTGAGGAGAGAGAGGAAGGGAAAGAAAGAGAGAAACATTGATGTGAGAGAGAAACATTGATTGGTTACCTCGCATACGTGCCCCAACCAGGGAACAAACCCACAACCTAGGCATGTGCCCTGACCAGAAATGGAACTCCCAACCTTTTGGTGTACAGACCGACGCTCCACCCAGCTAAGCCACACTGGCCAGAGTCGTGATTATTTCATTGTGCTGCACTGTCCTGTGAGGAACTGAGCCCTTCAGCTTGGGAAGTGTGGAATGATCTGGTGCAAAATGTTAAGCAGCTGTTCTCTGCATTCAGCACTGTTTTGATCTGCTTTTGTCCTCACAGGAACCTTGTTTGCTCTTCTCCTCATTAGCTGCTTCTTCTTGGACTCAGACCTGCCTTGGAGAACCTGTAGATTTGAAAATGAACACCACGGATATGGCAGACACCACCATGGATGACAGCATCTATAACAATTACTATCTCTACGTGAATATGCCCGAGCCTTGTACCAAAAAAGGCATCAAAGCATTTGGGGGGCTGTTCCTGCCCCCGCTCTACTCCTTGGTCTTTCTGTTTGGTCTGCTTGGAAATTCCATGGTGGTTCTGGTCCTGTTCAAGTACAAGCGGCTCAGGTCCATGACTGATGTGTACCTGCTCAACCTGGCCATCTCGGACCTGCTCTTCGTGCTCTGCCTCCCTTTCTGGGGCTACTATGCGGCAGACCAGTGGGTTTTTGGACTAAGTCTCTGCAAGATTATTTCCTGGTTGTACTTGGTGGGCTTCTACAGTGGCATATTCTTTATCATGCTCATGAGCATAGACAGATACCTGGCAATTGTGCACGCAGTGTTTTCCTTGAGAGCCAGGACCGTGTCTTATGGGATTATCACCAGCCTGGTCACCTGGGCAGTGGCTGTATTCGTTTCCCTGCCAGGCCTTTTATTCAGCACTAGTTACACAGAAGAAAAGCATACTTACTGCAAAACCAAGTACGCGCGCAACTCCACACGGTGGAAGGTTCTGAGCTCCCTGGAGATCAACATTCTGGGGTTGGTGATTCCCTTAGGGATCATGCTTTTTTGCTACTCCACGATCATCAGGACCTTGCAGCGCTGTAAAAACGAGAAGAAGAACAAGGCGGTGAAGATGATCTTTGCCGTGGTGGTCCTCTTCCTGGGGTTCTGGACACCGTACAATGTCGTGCTCTTTCTGGAGACCCTGGTGGATCTAGAGGTCATCCAGGACTGTGCCTTTGAAAGACACCTGGACTATGCCCTTCAGGCCACAGAGACCCTGGCTTTTGTCCACTGCTGCCTTAACCCAGTCATCTACTTTTTCCTGGGGGAGAAATTTCGCAAGTACATCATCCAGCTCTTCAAAATGTGCGGGGGCTCCTCTGTGCTCTGCCAGTACTGTAGGATCCTCCAGATTTACTTCCCCGACCCCTCCAGCTCATCTTACTCACAGTCCACAGTGGATCACGAGCTCCATGATGCTCTGTAAGAAATGGGAATGCAGAAAACGGACTTGAGAAACTTCCCAAATCAAGAGCTTATTTACAACTGTATTATAGTAAGAGTTCCCTGAGCAAGTAAGCGTCAGGGAGAAGACGGACATCCATCCACGGCAGTAAGCCGGGCTTCTCACCCTGCAGTCAGCTTTCCTCTTGCCGCGTCCAAGTTCAATGCAGTGAGAGTTCACCTGGCCTGAGGTGTCCTTCCCTGCACCAGGCTGGCTGGTGTGATAAGTAAACCCGAGCAGAATTCTGAGCAGGTTAGAGGTTAGAAATAATATTGAAAGGGAAAGACCACTCCCTTCTAATCTGAACAGATGGGTATTCGCCTGAGGAAGAAGAAGAGAATTGGTGGAATAAATTGCTGCTTTCTGCTGTGAAAAATGGGCTCTTTAATTAATTTCTAGCTTTTGTGGAACAATATAGAAAGCTTTGACATGCCGTCCCTGTGTTTTTTCTAATAATATATCTGAAGCCAGGTGTATGCAGAAGTGAATAATGAAGTAATGAACTTAGATCTGATTTTTTGAAGGTAAGGGATTATTTGTTAATGGAAGCCAAACTTTTCATGCTGATTCCAAGAATAAAGATATGAAGGCATTAGCATAGTCGGATTTCCAAACACAAAATTCAAGGCATTAAAAAATCCAAACGTACTTGTGGAAATTCAAATGCTTTGTTTTAATTACAAGAGATGCATATTCAAAATTTAAAAATATTACATAGTCCCTGATACATTTATTTGCGGTCTTTTACTTATTTACACACAGTGCCTTCAGGACTGAAAATGACAAGGATTACTAAAGTATGACAATGTGTCCTTTGTCCTTTTGAAGTGCAGCAATCAAGAAAGGCAAGAATAATCAATTAAAAAGTTATTGTTGATGTGACATAAAAGTGACTGTCAAAATTATGAAATTGTAAAAAGTGTCATGCTCTCTTTTAAAATATTGGCCGTGGTTTTTAAATTTTGCATAATTCAAAAGTTCAGTCATCTCATCATTTTAATCATGCAATTAATCATTTTACCCCATGAAGGGTGCTCTTACAGCTTTACTTAATCAATTATGTAAATACTTTAACAAAGTCTGGGCACACTGGTAAAATAGGGACAACTTAAAACCCCTCCAAAAGCAAAAGCCTGTCTTGCAAACCAGTAACTGAGTAACCCAGTTCAAAATGCTTCCATAAGTTTACCTGTAATTGCATGTTCTACATTTTTAAATGATGCATTTCCAGAAAATTTATTTTCAGAAAAGCAAATCGAAAAGTGTTGATGTTGCCTTAATAGAAAAATAATAATAAAAGAAATGTGCATACAGTCCTGCAGAGCCTTTTTTCCTGATGATGTTCGTATTTGATCGGATACGGATGAGAATCCAAGCAGCGGAGGCCCCCGTTGCCTGGTCTTCACTACCTCAGCTACAAGATGAAGAGGATATGGATGTGCCCAAGGGGAGGAATTGGGGGGTTCACTGTTTAGATCTCCAGTTGGGGTGGGGATGGAGTTGCTAGCTTGTTCCAGTACACTTGGAGATCAGAGTAGGTAAGAAGTGAGGGGTGGAGCCGGGTTTCTAGGCAGAGTTTCCTTAGAAAACCCGTACATGGTATGTTAGGGTAGGCCAAATCCCAGCTTTGCATTCCCTTGTGAGCCTAAGCACGTTTCTTTCCTCTCTTAGCCCCTGTTTTCTCTGATCTGTGAAGCAGACTCTACTGCAGAATGATTGGAAGAAAGAAGTGAGATGGTTAATGCGAAGCACCTATGTTCCCAGACTGTAGATTAAGGTGGTTTTAGATTGGCCCTACCAGTGGCTGCCTCCACTTTGCTGGTAGAGTTAGTGATTTTATTCCTTTATTCACAGTGAAACAGATATTTCAGGACACCAAAAGACAAGGACTGGCCAAAGGGGTTTTACTGTCCCGTCATTCTCCACCGTATGCTAAGCAGGGGTGAGGTGCAGACGCTCGGCTTCCAACTCTGCAGCGGGGGTGGGCTCATCGGCTCATCCTTTACCTCAAGCCACTCGGGGCTTCCCTTCTTCCAAAGCTTGGGGATAGTTCCCCAGGATGGGACCACAGAATGTCTAGTGATACCCAAACGTGACCTTCTCAGAACACTGAAAATAAAGTTCCCTCCCAGTCAGTAACAGAAACATAGAAAAGCAAGCCAGCATGATTTCTACACACGGGTGGGTTAAACTATGAAGTTTTCAGACATTAGACCCACTCCTTTCTCATTGCAACAGGCCTAGTTTCTGGAAGGCCAGGTGGAATTTGTTTAAGAATAGTAGAAACAGGTTTGCTTCGGGGGTGATGGAAATGTTTTGGAACTGGACAGAGGCGATGGCCGTACAATATTGTGGATGTGCTAAATGCCACTGAATTGTATGTTTGTAAATGATTAGTTCTGTGTTATATGAATTTGACCTTAATAACACCACCACTACCAACAAGATGAATAATAGGAAGTAGCACTAACAGAATCTGTCCCATAGTAAGCACTCAAATGATACAGAAAAAATAAATACCTGTTTCCTATGAGAGGGAAAAATGCAGGGTGATGCCAAGGGGTCTTCAGACCTTTAGGGAAATTTTTCCTAAGAAACTCTCATAGCAACTTGGACTATTTGATGTAATTAATTCCTCTTTGTTGAATGTTTTGAGCCAAGCAGAATGCTAGGTTATGGAGAGAATAACAGTATAAAAGAGTAAGTTCTGCACTCATTGAATTCACAATCTGAGAAAGGAAAACTCAAACACAAGATCACCTATAATAGTAGGCATGGCAGATATGATCAGAGAATTAGGAACAACATGATTTGGGACCCCAGAAGAAGGAGACATTGATTCAGTTCTGGCTTTTTACAATACAATTAGCTTTTGAAGTAGGCCTTGGTAAGGGGGCTGGATTTTGATGAACGGAAGGGAGAAAGGACATTCTAGATTGATGAAAGAGCAAATGAAAAGGTAGGGTGGTGGTAGGAGTATACCATGTGTTCAGGGAGTGGTTAGTAGGTGTTTGTAAAGTGACTACATAGATGGTGGGGAAGAGTAGCAAAGTAGGCAAAGATGAGAGAGACCACAGAGGCTGCAATTCTGAGCTACTGAGGCAGCTGCCACCCTATACTGGGCTTGAGAAGACCATTAGTGAACTCAGGTGCTGCTCGTACACTCCTGTCCAGGACTGAAGCATTCATTCGATAGCCACCAGGAGCGTTGACGGGTGACAGCTCTCAGCTAGACTCTTTTCAGGATAATCCTGTCTGGGCACAGTTCACATCCAGTGACTAGAAAATGACCGGAAATAAAACACCTTCTTGCCTTAATTTGGGACAACTCTGAAGAGCCGTTTCAACTCCAGGGCTCCCCATAAGATTAGCCAAGACCACCTCTGTGGTAACTACCTTACAGTTCACCTTTGCCTCTTGTCTAGTCGTGCTTCCTTCATGCTCTTATGGGGGCTGCTCCCAAGAGGGTTCCCCATCAAATCTCCTGGTTGCTAATCTCCGAGTCTCAGAGCCTGTGTCCAGAAACCCCAATCTAAGATGGGACTTTCAGATCACATAGGGGACAAGTGAGCACCTACTATAAATGGAAACTGACCTGAGGTGTGGGGAAATGAAGAGGCATAATCTTTGCATCATGGATGTTCTTCACTCATTGCCCTCTGACCATCAACCCCAGTTTGACTCTTGGTTCCTATGCTTCCAGTCTTACCTTTGCCCCCACAATCTGCCTGCCTCACGCCCTGAGGCATCTTCCTTATACCACTCTCTTTCTGTCTTGTCTACTTTGGCCACGCCTAAGTCATCTGACATCCTATATCTTTTACCAGTCAGTGACTATCTTGGTTTCAATGAACCAGACACAGCTCCAGCCATTTTTGTGGTCACAGTACCATATACCCTTCAAAAGTTTACAATGGATCCAAATTTCCTTTTCAGAAAATCAAAAAATCAGCAAGTGCTTTCATATATTGAAACTCTTTATAAAGTAGATCAATTTGATTTTATTCCTCCAAAGAGGTCCAGGGGAAATAATAGTCTAAGCATTAATTAGACTAACTCCACCAACAATAACAACAAGCTAACCGCCTAGCAAAATGCCTAGCGCAAAGTAGTTCTTCAGTATTGGTTTATTTTTTTTACTGAATGAGTGAATTTCCTTATCTGTTAATCAAGTTCTCTGCATGGTGATTCAAGTTTCTATTTCACCATGAAAAGTTCACCAATCCTCTCCAAAATCCCCATTTTGTTTCTAATAAAACTTTATGTGACAGAGTTCAAAGATTGATTGAATAGCTCCCTAGTTCCAGAAACTAGTAGGCGGTCTTTGGGTCAAAAATTACTTCATGAAGACTTTTGGTATGAACACAGCTGCAGAAGTCTGCATTTTCACCTTCTCTGGGAAACCGTGATACAACAGCAAGAATGAATTTAAAATCCCACGAACTCCATTCTCGGTCAAACCTGGAGAGAGAGATGCTTTTCAGACTCATATATGTAGTAAGGCCTACTAAAAGCAGGTAAAAGCCATGGGAAAGGCGACAAGAAGCAGGGAGAGGGTGCAGCAGTGACAGACTTCAGGAAGCGCTACAAAGGTACATTTCCTGAAGGAAGGGGGACGCCCTGAGGTGCAGGAGCTGAGATGAGTAGAACTTGGGCCAGAAGCCGTCCGAGTCCCACTTTCATTCAGAGACGCAGAGAAGGCAGATTTGCCAAATTTCAAATTTGCAGGAGACAAGCCTGTCTCGGTGGCAGCAGAGGAGAGCTATTGGCGTTGTGAAAACAGCGAGCCTGGAAAACTGCAGGACCCCTCGCCCCAAACAGAAGCATGTTCAATAATTCAGAGATAGACACCAAGGAAAATAATACTGACTATACTCAGGATAGGAGTACTATAGAAGTATAGGAATGTAATGTTTCATGATCACGATCAAACAGATATCTGTCCTGGCTTATATGCATGACGGGGCACCGCAGAGGCATTC